TTTTGGCTGTACTAGTTGGTAACAGTTCACACCTCCTGAGATTTAACTTCTTCACTTGATTTTGTATAAAGGGTTATACTCAGCTTTCATACCTAAGCTGTTACCATACATGTACCTATGCTTTGGCTGACATTCAGGATAGCTCATAACATATGAGGAGACAAAGGTATAAGGTATTAAAAACTTGCCCTTCAAACCTAATGACAAAGCATTAGGATTGGACATTTTAAGTGCCTTGCCTTTCTGTTCATTGTGTAAGAAAGCACTGAACTTTGAGGTCCTTGTTCTTATCATGGTTCCTTACAAACCTTGATCGATAGCTTCTTTTTTTAGTCATTGATTGAAGTTTCAGTTAAAGTGACTTAGTGAAACTTTTTTAAATCCCCGAAATGCTTACAATTCTTAATTGTAATATTTACTCCAACTTTCTGTAAAGGTAAGATTCTTTTAAGCACAACACCCAGTTAGCTATCTCTCCCTGTTCCTTCCTCTCCCTCACTCTCCTCTCTTTCCTGGGACAGTCTTACTATGTAGTAGAGGCTGACCTGGACCTTGTGAGGAAACTCAGGCTGGCCTATGTCATCCTGTTAAGTCCTGGTATCACACAGATGTGTTTCCTGGTTCATTTTAATTCTACATGTTGCTGTCTTTATTAGTTAGTTATTTAGTTTTTTTGAGACAGGGTTGCTCTGTGTAGTTCTTGCTGTCCTGGAACTCACTATGTAGACCAGGCTGGTCTCAAACTCAGAGATCTGCTTGCCTATGCTTCCCATGCTCCCAGGTGTTGGTATTAAAGGCATGTGCCACCATTCTTAACTCACATGTTACTGTATTTAAAAAACAAAACACAAACCTCATATGACTATGAAACACTGTTCTAGGAGAGTCATGTATTTTGATCATATTCTAATTTGGTTTAGTAGAATTATTCAATTACATTTAGTAACGTACCATAGGATCTTGTCTTTTTCCAAATTCAGACAGGAACTTTTTAACAATAACCATGTGAAATGCTGCCTGCAGATTCTGACATGCATAGTGAATGCTGTTTTACAAGTAATTCATATAGACTATTAATGAATGTCCTAAAAGTACTGGTTGTTAAGTCCTTGATACTTCAGCCAAATACTTGGTATCTAAAGCTTCCATATGTTGATGCCTAACCTTTATTGTACTCATTCTTTTATTTTACATGGTATCTGAAGTTACTGTAGTGGAAACTTTCAAAACTAGCATCTGTTTAGAATACAAGGATGTAGGATTTTGACCTGTTGGTTTAAAATATTCAGCTATTTAACAGCCTGCCTCAGTAACTGGCATCCGCCAGGTTTGTCAAAGACATTTTAAGGTAGCGTAGGAAAGTGTGACTGACATGGAAGAGGGGCCATGGTACAGTGAAAAGTGTGCATGAAAGATGCAGAAAGCTGTGTTCTGAGCCATGTTTGCAATTATCCCAAGCTGGTCAACTGCAGCCTTACTACACAGCTGTGGAGGGTGAAACACCCAATCCTCAGTTTCTTCATGTGCAAAGATTGTGTTGGATGAACAATAACATTTGTGTCAAAGTCTGTGGCATTTTTGATGATGTTTAGAAAACCATAAATGTTCATATAAAATGTATTTACAAAGTCAAATAATGAGCCAGGAAATTGTGACCAAAAGTACATTTCTACACTGTAACATGGCTGGTAACCTATCAGATTCTCTCCTGTGCTTCTGCAGCTTTAGTTTCAAAGTTTTAGACTTTGCCTATGATGTTCTTACTCAGTTTCATATGCTGATAATGGAGACACCTGCAGAGCTATGCTGCACGGTGACTTTGTTTATTCAAATATATCAGCTGTAATAACAGGAACACAGTTGGATATGTTTCAAAACATGCTGTGACCAGAATGTCCATTTGTTTGTCCAATGTTGCATATAAAGATGAATTATAGAGAACATTGCACCAATTACATTTGTAAAAGATTTGTAGCTTACTTATACCAGATGCTGTGTGACTATGGAAATTGGTTTAATTTGACCAGGCACAGCTTAGAATTGTTTGGTCATAAGTGAAAAACAATGGGAGGTTCAGTTGCAGTATCCTGTTTTGATACTGGCATAGAAGCTCGATCCTGGGAGTTGAACATGGGCTTTTATGTGGTTTGAAGGTTATAATTTATTAATGGGCTGTATAGACTTTCGACTTTTATAGTAGTGGTGTAAGGGAATTGGTATTTGTATTCTTGGTTTCAGAATTTAGCCAATTAAAACAGAGAGCACTTTCATAAGCTTATTTATTTCAAATAAAAACAAATTAAAGTGTGTACAGTTAAAAAGATGAGCCATTTCTGCTGTCATCAGTTCTCTCCAAGCCCAGAGAAAGGAGAGGGAAGGAATAAGTACTAGGAGGAAAATAGGTGCATGGACTCCACAAAAATGAGTGATAACATCCAAGAATAATGCAGGGATTTTCATTTTCAAAAATTTTCATCAATAAAATAACTGCTGATCTTGGTGGTGCACACCTGCATTTGCACACTGAGGCAGGAGAATTGGGAGTTTGAAGTCAGCCTGCATTACAAAGTAAAACTTTATCTCAGAGTTTTCTAGCTTTATCTTATAGGTTATTCATATTATAAAACAAGAATAGATTATCTTTTCTTTATCACTGTGAAAATGATTTTCCCTTCCACTTTGAAATGAGTTACCAAGTTTTTCAGATATGCTGCTATCTGAAAATACTTTCTGCCCCTCCTCTGTAAAATTTGATGCTGCTTTCTCTTAGCTTACATTTGTTTATCTGTTTCACCTAAGTCTTCAAACTTATTTACATATAGTTTATAAATTATCTAAGAATCCTGAATAAGTTTTTCTCAGTCTGTGGCTGTGTCCCTTTTTCACTTGGTGTTTAACTGTTCTACATACTGCAGTAGAGAATAAAGATGTTTTCCGTAATACTTTACAATCTTAAAGTTAAAAAATGTGCATGTCAGTGCCTTCCATGAAAGTAATCTGTTTGCCTCACCCTGCTGCCTGATGTTTTGTTTCCTTCCTTTGCCAATAAAGGAATAAAAGTGAAGACTCTCCCCTTACCTTTTATACCAAGATGTTTAGAACATTTTCTCTAAACTAAATGATTTTTTTTAATGTAACTTCATGGGACACAATTTTCTAGACTATTTAAGATCTCTTGGGATTTCTTCATGGCTCCTACCAGCCTAAGTTCCTTTTGCGGGGAAGGAGAGGGGTGTTTCGAGACTGGGTTCCTCTGTGTGACAGCTCTGGCTGTCCTGAATCTGACTTTGTAAACCACCAGGCTAGTCTCAAACTCACAGAGATCCACCTGCCTCTGCCACTCATGTGCTGGAATTAAAGGCATGAGACACCACACCCAGTGCCTAAATTCTTAATAAACATGTAAAAGTATTCTTAATCACAAATTTTACATCACTTGCCTTTAAAACAGTCTGCTTTTATTTTAAATATCCAAGGTACTTGCATCCTAAAAAAATGGTGTTAAAACTAATAATAACTATATGTATGGTTACATTTGTATTTTCTAGAGCAAAGGATTGTTAACAAACATTATAGTGTTTTAGCAGTCCTGAAAGTGAACTTACGCATTGTTAGTAGGCTTCGGGTTTGTCCAGAAACTTTGTTTCATATTTTTTTTTTTTTAACCAGATCTGAGACTGGCAAAGAAAACCATTTTTTTTTTATTTTATTTTTATTTTGCAATACAATTCAGTTCTACATATCAGCCACGGATTCCCTTGTTCTCCCCTCTCTGGCCCTCCTCCCCTTCCCCCCAGCCCACCCCCCATTCCCACCTCCTCCAGGGCAAAGCCTCCCCCGCAGACTGAGATCAACCTGGTAGACTCAGTCCAGGTAGGTCCAGTCCCCTCCTCCCAGGCCGAGCCAAGCGACCCTGCATAGGCCCCAGGTTTCAAACAGCCAACTCATGCAATGAGCACAGGACCCGGTCCCACTGCCTGGATGCCTCCCAAACAGATCAAGCCAATCAACTGTCTCACCCATTCAGAGGGCCTGATCTAGTTGGTGACCCCTCAGCCATTGGTTCATAGTTCATGTGTTTCCATTCGTTTGGCTATTTGTCCCTGTGCTTTATCCAACCTTGGTCTCAACAATTCTCGCTCATATAAACCCTCCTCTTTCTCCCTAACAACAGAGAGGGAGAACAAGGAATAGGAGACCATGGTAAATGAAGACCACATGAGAATAGGAAGAAGCAAAGTGCTAGAGAGGCCCACAGAAATCCACAAAGATACCCCCACAACAGACTGCTGGCAATGGTCGAGATACAGCCCAAACTGACCTACTCTGGTGATGGGATGGCCAAACACCCTAATTGTGCTAGAAACCCCATCCAACTACTGAGGGATCTGGATGCAGAGATCCATGGCTAGGCCCCAGAAGAAAACCATTTTTAAAAACAGGCTAGCCAGGCGGTGGTGGTACACGCCTTTAATCCCAGCACTCGGGAGGCAGAGCCAGGCGGATCTCTGTGAGTTCGAGGCCAGCCTGGGCTACCGAGTTCCAGGAAAGGCGCAAAGCTACACAGAGAAACCCTGTCTCGAAAAACCAAAAAAAAAAAAAAAAAAAAAAAAAAAAAAAAAAAAAAAAAAAAAAGATAGGCACCTATCTCTTTCCTGTTACTTTCTACGTTTAAATGTACTTAAATGTTTTTGTACAAATATGATAGGATTCAAGGATAAAATGTCTGTGATGGCTTAATACCTATTAGATTGAGTTTGAACCTGTAAGCTATCATCTTCTAAAAGCCTAATACTTAAAAACTGCTATTTCTGTATTTGTATAACATCAAGTAAAGCAGTGGGGTAAACACATCTACAAAGGAAATAACAATTGTATGCGTATTTGATTCAATTTTGGTGTATTTCCTGTGTTAAGTATGTTAATGATTTGCCTCCACTAAGAAATATTTTTGAGAATCATAAAATGAAATATGTCAGTTTTATTATTCTTTTTTATAGGTCATGGAAAATGGAAGATTTGCAAAATACAAGTATTTTACCCATGTCATGATCAATAAAACAGACATGTTCATGATAACAAGACGGTAACTTCTTTTCCTTTTCTAATATAATTGATAAGGGTGACAGGTTCTCATGTTCATAGTTTCCATGTAGCCACACTGATTGCTATAAAGTCTGATCATATGTTTAAGTTCAGCTTTGTGTATGCTTGTAGATAAACACAATCATAAATAAACAGAATTGGAAGTTAGTTCAGTATTTATTTCAACTATTTGACTGGCTACAAAAATTGTGTAGAACTGACCTCTCAAAAATTGTGTAGACTTTGCCCTCCCAATACCACTCCAGTTGTTGGAGAAATCAGCAGTCCTCTTAATGGCATTTCTTCAAAAGAATACATAGATGTACTGTTATTAACTGGGTATGCCAGTGTGACTAGAACGTTGTGTGAAGATACTCCCAACCATGACATCTTCAGAAAAACCTGTAGACTGGAGAACCACTGGGTCTTTTTCAGCATTTCCAACAGTCTCAGACTGGTGTACATGATGGAGAGGAAGACTGAAGCAAGAATCTGACTAGCTTATGTCTCAAGCATGGCTATTTCTTAAATCACTCTCTGAAAGTGTGTGCTATCAACTTAAAATTGGTGTCTCAACTACAAAGAGCAACTGTGGGAGAATGTCCTTTGAAGGAAAGATTAAGTAGAATCATAGATGAAAGGCATTTTTCTCATTTCTTCCCCCATGAAGCCTAAGATGTTGTATTTTTAAAATTTCTGATTTTTGACAATGACAGAACTTGATTTTCCTGGAAAACCTCAAGGATTTTCAGTATTTGATTCTTTTCAGTGTGATTAGAAAAGCCTCTTTCTGGCCGGGCGGTGGTGGCGCACGCCTTTAATCCCAGCACTCGGGAGGCAGAGCCAGGCGGATCTCTTTCTGGCAGAGGGTGCAAAGTGTATATTATTCTAACCTGTTACATCGTTCTTGAATATGTTCTGGTAGTTGGTTCTGTAAATGCTTACCACTCCTTAGAAAGAGCCTTATTTATATGACTTCAGCTCAGCTTTTCTAGTATAGGTCATGCTATATACATTTCCCACTAAGCATTGATTCAGCTACATCCTACAAGTCTTTTATTTACATTCTCACTCTATGCCAATTATTTTTACTATTTGAGATTCTTTAACTCATGGTTTGTTTTAGAAATGCTTTTATTTCTAATCATTGGAGAGTATTGTTATTTTTCATCTTTCTATTAACTAGTTTCTAATTTTAGTCCATTATGGTTTGAAAACAGATACTTTTATAATTTCCATTGTTTTAAATTTATTGGATTTTTTTGTTTTGTTTTGTTTTGTTTTGTTTGTGGTACTGGAAATCAAACCCAGGGCCACACACTTTTTAAGGAGACAGTTTACCGTTAAGTCATACCTCAAGCCCTAAATGCATTACAGTTTTTTGTGGGGCTATAGAAATGGCTCAGCTGTTAAGAATACTTGATGCCCTTGCAGAAAAATCAAGGTTTGGTTCCCAGCATCTATATGAAGTGGTGCACAGTCACCTGTAACTCCAGTTCCAGAGGATCCAATGGCCTCTTCAGGCCTCTCTGGGTACCTGCACACATGTGTACATACATACACTCAGGCCCACACACATCCACATTAAATTTTTTGAAAAATAAGATTTTAATATGACTTAGTTTATGAATTTTCCATGTGTGCTTGCAAAAAATAAAATCTTCCATTGACCTAAGTTCCTCAGTTCTCAAAGTGAATTCTTTCTTCCCTCCCCTAGTGGTGTGTTGTTTGTGACAAAGGGAACATTTGGACAGCTTACATGTGAATGGCAGTATAGTTTTGATGAATTTACCAAAGAGCCATTCATTGTCCATGGGAGAAGATTGCGCATTGAAGCAAAGGTATGTAGAATAGACTGTTTTTGATATTTATATTCTCTAAAATAGTGCATTGAAGTCTCTTTGATCTGTCTTTTATGAATGCTGCTTTGTCTCAGGATAGGTTTTCTGAGACAATGTAATTGTAGTATCTATAAGGGAGAAAAGGCATTTCTTTATTGTCTTTCTACAACTGTGTTTTCTTTTTAATGAACTTACGAATTCTGTCTATAGGAACGGGTGAAATCTGTATTCCATGCCAAAGAATTTGGAAAAATAATTAACTTCAAGACTCCAGAGGATGCTAGGGTAAATATAATTAATCTTTTATTTAAGCCTCATAGAAGCATCTCACTTTGAAGCCATATTTTGCGGGAAATAAATTTTGTGTAGGGCTTTTGTTTTTAATAGTTTTCAACACTCTGGCTTTTCAAATCAAATTGCTCTTTTTTATTTTTTGAGACAAGATCTCCCTATATAGTCCAGGATATCCTCGAACCCACCTTTTTCTTGCCTCTGCCTCTTAAGAGCTGAAATTACAGGTTTCGGCATGTTCTCCTGTTAAATGCTGTTATACTTTAGTTTTTAAAAGTCAGCAAACACCAGAAATCGTTCTGTTCTGGTGTTAATCTGTCCACTCCAGCAGAGAAAGTGTAACTGTGTTGCTAATTTCTTTACCTCACAGTTACAGTGGTGTAACAAAACAAGTAAAGAGACCAAACCTGTAGTCAGAAAAGGTAGGTTTCACGATTTCCCCTCTTGCTTGTTAGTAGAACTTGCAGGAGTTTCTTTGAAATGAGAGTGGTCTAAACTGAAAAGTACTGTACATGGTTGAGGGATCATGACAATTACAAGAAAATGAAGCCTATTGTCACATTAATCATAGCTAAGACACTGTTCTTGATGCAGCATTATATTGTTTGGGGTAACTCATTTTAAGAGCACTGGACCTTTCACTTCATCCCTGTGCCTCCTGCCTTCTTATTACATTCTCCATCAGATGTGGTTATCTACCAGTTCACTTGTCACATCTAGATACTAACTGCTCTCCTCCTACGTAACTTGGACCAGTAAGCGTATGCTATACAATTTAGCACATGTTATGCAATTTCTATAAAGATATTGTGATTAAAGACAACATTGACATACTAATCATAGAAGGGTGGATGAATTACCAAGAAACAGGAATAAAACACTGAAGTGTTAATGTATTTGTGACCTGGAACAAGGAGACAGAATAGAATATGCTAACTGGGCTTTTCTTTGAGGGTAGATTTTATTACTGCTTCAATTTCTTTTTTTTTTTTTTAAACTGGGCTATGTTTGTGTTTCAGTCTTGGTAAGGTGCATGCATCTAGAATTTATTGCCAATATTTTGGCACATAGCTATTCATAATAATCTCTGATGATCTTTATTTCTGTGGTGTCATTTTGTAATATCATTTCTGGTTCTGAGTCTTTTTATTCCAGCCAAGAGCTTTGTCTATTACTTTATGACTTCATTGATTTATCTGTCTCTCTGTCATTTATTTGTTTTGGTTCTTACTCTTTCCCTCTAATTTGGAGTTTGGTTTGTTGTTTTTCTAATTCCTTAAAGCACAGTGAATGGTTTATCTCTGTGTCCATGTTACTTTGGATCAAATTCTAGTCTCTTTTTGCAACATTTGGTCTAAAGTTGACTTTTAAGTATGGCTACTCCTGTTTTGTTCTGCATTCTATTTGCATGGAATATCTTATTCAGTCCCTTCCCTTTTAATTCATATATGTCCTTAAAAATGAATGCATTTCCTATAAATCACATATTAGATTTGGTTTTGGGGTTGTATGGGTTCTTAATCTAGTCAACCACACTTTCTTTTATTTGGAATATTTAATCCATTTATATTCCACATAATTATTCATAGGTGAGGTCTTAATGCAGCCCATGTGGAACTTGAGTTTAACTCTGTCATGGCCTTGCTTGCCCTGGTCCCCAGCAGGTGATAAACCTTGCTCTGTGCTCTGCTGCCTGAAATTGGGGGAAAGGTGGTAATTGTAATCAGCCACCTAGCATAGTCCATTGGTTCAGTGACCAGGAGTTGTTGGGGTTTCACTGTGGCATAGCATGGCTGAGTTTCAAGTCTAAGACCTGTACTTAATCAACTGTCATGGCCCTGGGGTTTGGGGGGCACATTTTTCCATGTTGAGTTGCTTGAAGTTGGGTTACAGTGTGGTATGGGCAACTCTTACCTTCCTTCTTAGATGTCTTTTTTTGTTCTCCATACTTAATAAGCAGGCATTATGGTCTCACCTAATTTCCTTAGCTCTTATGAAGGCAGTTTGATACGTGAGTAGCTGTTCAACTTGGTGTGTTTGTGAGGAGATAGTCACCAAAGGATCTTATTTAGTTACCTTCTAAATCTTTTAGAAATGAGATACAACTATATCACAACCTTTCACTCATCATGCAGATCCCACAATCATGGACATTGTTGATAGAAAGGTTTGTATTAATTTCATTTTAATAATTTCTAGTCCTTTCAACATAAAATTTTTTATCATGAGAGGATCAAAACTGCACAAAGATGTTTCTATGCTATTACCAACTACAAAATTGTAATTGTTCCTACTCAAACTGAATTCCTATATGCAAAACTGGTGCAAGGTGGAAAGAGCTTTGCAAAACTGATTTTTCAGACAATGCCAGTTGTCTAATTGCCAAATTATCCTTTTTCTGGCAGAATAATTTATTGTACTTTGCTTATTCTCAAGAGGTTCCTTTAATTCCCAAGATGAACTTCTAATTCCAAGGACCTTAGAGAAATACTGTTCCTCTGAACTCTGGACTATGTCAGTATTCTTTTCTATAGTATGTAGGTTAGCTATTGGCTATCAGTTCATGCCCAAACTTAATGTTGGCTTTTAGATTTCCATTCATTATATTTTTTTTCATCACAGGTCCATTAAGATTAATAAATGTTCTTTATTTCTCCCCAACAGTGGATCCTTACAAAGCTGGAAGAAGCAAGAGAACCATCTCCGAGCCTCTGAAGAGGGAGGCCGCTGCCTGAAGGCACTGCAGTTCATTCTTACAGTTCTGTGCTGTACCCTCCAACCCTGTGGAGAACAGGAGTCATTTCAAGGACCCTCTGCTTTTAGATGCTTTCAAACAAACAAAACAGAGCCAACTGGGTAAACAGCTATGTGATTAAAATACTAGAAGGTCCATTCAGTTTCCTAATCTGAATCATGCATATGGTTATGATTCCTAATATTTTATAAAAAGAAGTATTTACTCCAGGATAGTCTCAGTAGTGTAGAGAGATTGCTCACAGTCTTCATGTCAAACAAAATGTAGTTTCCCAGTTAACGTTGTAAACTTCTCTCATAGTTACTTTGTCTCCCTGAGGAGTGGAAAATGATCAGATTAAGCACTGCCTCAGTAATGACATGAAAACTTTGGTAATTTCTTCAGAATCATGAAGTTCTTTTTACAAATAAATATTTTGGTATTTTCCTTATTTTTTTAAAAAAATGATTTGGTTTATACTAATATGCAAAGTGTAACTGTGAAAAACAATCTTTTTTGAGATTGGACATAATATCCCTTAGATCCCTTAAAAACTGAGTATCATACCCAAAAAGGTAAAGTCCCTCCAGATCTTTAAAGCCTTGGAAATACTTTCTCAGGGGAACTCCATGGATTTACCCACTTTGTGTTGTTAATAGACGGTTGTTTTCAAAGGAAAAAATTAAAGCCTTAATAATGCTTACCTTCTGTTTACTGGTAACAGGAATTTAAAAATACAAAAAACAAAAACTCTTTCCAACATCTAAGCTCTAATAAGTTATGTTCTAGAATAAACAGCTTCTGTCATGAGTTAAAGTGCAAACCCTAAAATCTAACCAGTAACCATTCCTATTGCTTTGGATTAAGAATTTCAGGTTTGCCTACTTTATAGTTATTCAGGTGAGAAACACTTACTTAAAAATGCAGGCTCATCACTACAAAAATTCTCAACTCCATCATAGTAAAAAAATAAGGTTAAAGGTTTTTTTCCCTTTGGATTTTGTCCAAGATCTTTGCTCTTTACTATCAAAGGACTATTTAAAGTGAAACAGAATGAATGTCCAATTGTGAACTATTAAACAGAATGTCTTAATCGGTTATTGAATAACACACAGTGTTCAGTCTAGATTGTCATGTTACCAACTTGTTATAAAGTGTGTTGAAATCCAAGCGTCTGTTTGGTCACTGGGTGTTTAACCTGCAGGCTTGGTAAGCCTCTTGCTTTGCTGTAAGAGCTGGAATGAACAGCATGCCAGACTGTGGCTGCAGTTGTTGCTGCCCAAATCCTGCTCATGTTACCATCTGATTACAGATTGTATTGGTGGAGTCTCCCAAAATGCTTTCTCTGCTAAACATAAATTGAATCAAAAGATGACACATCTTTAATTGTTGTGGTTGTGTATCCCCAAGATGACCTTTCTTCAAGGTAAAGTACAAGTTTTCTCTGTTGCTGAGCCCCTCCAAGTTTGCAGATTAAACCTGTGAAGAGAGGTAGTTAGAAGGGCTGGAGAGATGGCACAGTGGTTAAGAGCACTAGCTGCCCTTCCAGAGGACCTGGGTTCAATTCCCAGCACCCACGTGGCAGCTCACACCTGTCTGTAACTCAGTTCCAGGGAATCTGACACCCTCACACCAGTGCACATAAAATTAAATAAATTCTTTTTTAAAAAAAATAGAAGGTTGGTATCATCTCCTTATCTGGAATGTTGCTTTCCTAGCATCCCAGTCACTGCCAACAGTTAAATACCTCATTAGTTACTTCTTTCATGAGTTCTGAAAAATTAGATTCATAACTCCCCAAGTGTGCCATGATAAAGTGCAAAAGTAATAGCTAGTATAGCAATTCTGTATCTTCTGGCAGCCAGCAGGATGTGTTTTATTACTAGTGCACACACATAGCTAATGTGCCTGTCCTCCTTGTTCCTGTATCAGTAAAAACTGAGAAATAGCTCTTGTTCTTTATGAATCAGGTATCTATCACCTCCTCCAATCACTCTCCCTGTGCAGTAGAAAGACACAGGTTGTTCTAGGATAATGTATCTAAACAATGAAAACTAGGAACATTAACTACCATTAACATAGATGAGGCACTAGCATAACGTTTTATAATTTACAGTTACATGTTTGATTCTGTAGTCTTTTTCAGAATCCAGAATCTTTTGAGAAGAATCATCCAGGAACCATAGTGTTCAGATTCCTCCAGTAGCTTTGCTTTCACAGTGTTTAGGGGAGCGTCCTTCCCTAGCATCTGGTGTCTTGGGGTTTTCCATGATCTCTATCATAATCCTATCCCTTTTTTTCTGATATGTAGTAGCAGTAGTATCCCGGTATCAATTCCTACCAAGTTTTACAAAACAAGAAAATACTCAACACTGAATTTCCTGTTCTTTGGTATCACCATGTTGGCTCATTCTTTAGCCTATCCCATTCGTTCCCTTGTATAGGCCTCTGCATTAAAAAGATCAAATCAAAAGGCATATGCCATATGTACTTAGAGGTGTCTGAAGCTATCAGATCTGCCTGTTATCTCGGATGCAACTGAAATCCTCAGTGGCAGTGTTTTTAAATTATAGGTCTTAACCAGTGGATCATGAAATCAGTTTAATAGCTAAAGATAACCATATTTTAAAAATGGAATAGTAAAGAAATACAGGAACAAGAGAACACATAAGAACAAATGTTCGCCGGGCGGTGGTGGCGCACACCTTTAATCCCAGAACTCGGGAGGCAGAGGCAGGCAGATCTCTGTGAGTTCAAGGTCAGCCTGGTCTACAGAGCTAGTTCCAGGACAGTAAGGACTGTTAACACAGAGAAACCTTGTCATGGAAGAAGGAAAAAAAAAAAGAACAAATGTTCTGTTTATAACTTAAAATGTTATCACTTTGTAGTGTTAGATTTTAAAAAATGAATAAAAAGCCTAAAAGACTAGAGCTATCCATAAGTGCTGGAACTGTGGCCATGATCAGGGTTCTTCCTGGAAGCAGGGTGGTTTGGTTGTATGTTTCTTAGGTAATGAAGAGCAGACTCAGAGCACAGTGGTCATCTTTAGGATGAGAAGTCAGGAGAGCTTGTTCTAGTGTATGAAATGTTTTACTTCCCTTTCCTCATAGACTATCGATGGAACCAGAAAAGGGATAGAAAATTAACTCAGGCAGATGACATACAAAAAGACCACAGGCTGTGGTAGAGCCCCCTCACTGTAGGGCATCTTACTCTCATCGACCTTCTATCTGGCTCCTGCAGGTGGCGAAGATCCTGAAAAACAGGTAGCTAACAATGTAAGGGGCATTATTGTAGAGCCAGAATACTCACCTGCTGAGGGTACCATACAAATAAATATCAGTACATTTTTAACTAAAAATACTGCATTTCCTCATTTCCATAAGACCCAAGTAGAAAAGGAAGACTTGCATTTCTTATATCAGATTCAGTGGATCCAAACTCATCAGTCTGATTTCTGTTGGTGCTGCATAGAATCACTTACCAGTCCTCACTCTAGAAAAGAACCCTTTGTCCTCTGCCTAATCCTTTGGGTATATTTTTGAAGTTTATACTTCATTGTTAATGCTAACCCGCTTGTGTTTTTTATGATCTGTTGTGTGTAGTGTGGAGGGGTGAGCATTATACCCAATAGCATGACTTTCCCCACTGACCTAGAAGGTGGTGCCTTGCTAAATGAGAAGGGGCTGTGTCTTACTCAGAAGCCCTGCTAATGTTGCTTTAATTAAAACCTTTTCTACTTTATTGCTTCTTTTGTAAAATAATCTTGTGTCATTTCAAAGTATTTTTACTTTAGCATTATGGGTTCTTGATTTTTTCTTTTTAAGCTTTATAGCATTTTTTTTTTTTTTTTTTTTTTTTTGGTTTTTCGAGACAGGGTTTCTCTGTGTAGCTTTGCGCCTTTTCCTGGAACTCACTTGGTAGCCCAGGCTGGCCTCGAACTCACAGAGATCCACCTGGCTCTGCCTCCCGAGTGCTGGGATTAAAGGCGTGCGCCACCACCACCCGGCTTATAGCATTTTTTAAAAGAGAAAAATTCAAGTTACCCAAAGCTTGACACATAAAAAATGTAACTTCAGATTTTATAGGTCGATATGAGTATTTTTTAAAACTTGTTTTTTATAGAAATATAAATGTGAGTTGTAGTTTAAAACCTGCTGTGATCCATATCAAATTGCCTTCAATCTGTCATTGAACATACTTCTGTGATAGCAGTGCTTTCTTCTAGTAAATCTTTGTAATGAGGACCCTCATGAGGCTATTAAAATAAAAATATCTAATGATTACAAGTGTTACCTACAGCAGAGCATGATAAAAAGCCTCAATGTTTATAATGTCATCATACCATCATTATCTAGTTGACTATTCAAAAGTTTCCCATATCTGGGCAGAAAAACATTTCAAAAAGCAACATTCTATAGCTTAGAATAGACTATTCTTAGTATCAGTGATAATACACTCAAGCCCACCAATAATTATAAATTATATTTAGAACTTGTTAGAGCGCACATGTATAAATTTTTTAAATGGTCATCTCTGTATACAAGTGTGTTACAATGAATGAAATTGTTGGAGAAGGTATTCTTTAAAAATACCTCTTCTTCCTAGTTTTTCAATTGTGCATTTCCATTTTTATGAACTGTCCAGACTAGTGTCGTAACTATTTTTATATTGACTTAATAGCCTGTACTTCTTTGGAATGTTTATTATTTGGTGAAAACATGGCCATTGGTTACTATGGGTTTTAAAAGTATTCCTCATTGCATCACTAGTTCCTTCACTTTTCTATTCCTTATATCTCTTATCTGTGAACATGACCTAATTACCTATTACACAGTGGTTGCCTTAGTTTTGTGTGTTTTGATATAAATAGTCTATAAACACAGGCATTTCAAATGTGGTTCTTACTCTTAAAACTGATCTTAGTCTTCTTCTTCCTAAAAATTGGCTGGAAATACTAACACTTGAAATGGTACTTATTTCTTGGAGGTGGTAGATTTCGATTGCATGCTAAAATGGCTACCCAGTTTAACCATATGTGAGTCCAATAAAGCTTTCCTGTCTTCGGTCTGTTTAGGTTGTTATTGAATAGAACCAGGAACATTTACCTTCTCATGCCTGTCTAAAATCTACCCTCTCTGTGGCCTAAGTCACTCCAAGAGTTCAGTGTCCTGACTTTTTAGTTGAAGTGGACAGTTTTCTAGACAAGCATGCTCACCATTAACTAATAGCTTGAGGAAATACTTGGTGAACAACTTCAGATGGCTAATTTTTTTTGGTAGTTAGGGTGAGTATATTTTAAATAGAAAGGCTAAGGGAGAATTTCTGCAGAAAAATTAATATGGACAGAAATCACTAACTCACCTCTGATGTGGAGAATTAACCTTGCTGTAACTGAAAAAGGTATTTGTTACCACCCTTTGATTTATTCCAAACCTCTCTTGCCCTGAAAAATACCACTTTCTTGTATGTCAACAAAAGGTTAAATTGTTACTAACTCAATGCTAGAAGGTACTTGAAAAGAGAATCCCACATTGTTTAATAGCCTTGACTCTGATTCTGTTGATAATGCTTCTTTTTAGATTAATTGGTTAATGAGACCTAGTTAGTCACCTTTAACCATGGCTTGTGATAGGGAGGGATAGCAATAGTGAATGTTTTGTTTTCTTTCTGTGATTTTTGAAGAGCTACCCTTTTGTCTTTGTCTCGATGGCTAATTGTTTAAAATAAAATTTAGCATCTATTTGTCCAGTTCATGCTTTAAGTAAAGACTGGCTTTCAAAACCTAATGCTACTTTGATAGAATGGGTTCACATTTGGAATTGTTCCAACAAATTAACAATCTAGAGGTCCAGTAACTGGGTGTAAGAAAGGCTTAGTTTAGCTCTAGGAGTTCAACCATGTGGTTCTGTAACAAATGTAGCCAATCTGAGAATGTTTATACACACTCAACTAAGTAAACCCACAGTGACTGAAAGCATTAAGGATGAAAATGCACATAATATACTAACCTTCTAGAACATGCAATCCAGCAGTGCACCATAGAGAAGATAGTGCTTCCCCTCGGGTTGGTATGGCTGACTGGGAGCTGCATCTTGCAGTATCTCAAAAGAGTACCAGGCCAAAAATTATTAGCCTGAGAATGGATCAGAATTCAAAGTTCAGTTGCTACTGGATATATGTCACTTTCTTATTGTTGTAAAAACTGAACCATTGTAAGGTGGAGACCCTTTGAAGATTGGTAAGAGGTAGATACACCCTAAGTGCACACGTAGCTCCCAGTGAGCAGTAGAAACAAAACCTTTAGTCTGAAGCACTCTACTTCCTAGGGATCAGGATCTACATTGTTTACTGAGCAGGATCTCCAGCATACAGACATAAATGAAGACTTATTTCAAAAGGGGGAAATATGAAAGCTGCTGAGTTGTTGGTAAGGCTGTGGCATTTTTCTTTTGAACAAAACCATCATCCACAAGCTCCAAGAAATACATCATCAGTGCTCCTGGTAGAACAGTATATTCTCAATATCCAGAAAGGCACAGCATACACAGTTCAAACATAGCAGATTTGTGATTACCATCAAAGTTTTGGCAAGGCTTACATGACATTTGTTAAACAAGTTATGCTTTAGCCATTCCATAAGTTTATAAGACCTGGCCATATGCATTAAGATACACACATGCACTATCTAGAGCCCATTTATCATCTATCTCAGTGTTGGCTTCACCACCAAATTGTGACAAAATTAGATATTGGGATAATATTAATTTGGCTTAGAAAGTTGACATGAACTAATTTTTTTTAAAGAAATCTTTGCTGGGGGTATAGCTCAGTTGGCAGAATGCTTGCCTAGCATGCACAAAGCCCTGGGTTCCATCCCAAGCACCACATAAACTGACCGTGGTGGCATATACATTCCAACACTTACTAACCTGTAAATATCATTGTCAAAATCATACAGTTTAAGACCTCTTAATGTCAGGAATAATTAGCAATAGAGTGAAAACTCTCCTGCTTTAAATAGGTTATGTATATGAAGACAAGAGAATCAGAAATTCAAGGTCATCCTTAGCTGCATAGTATGTTTGAGACCAGCATGGGATAGTTGAGATGCTGTCACAGAAAGAGGGAGGGAAAAAAAAGCTGAGCATGGTGGCACACACCCACAGTTCCAACACACACTTGGGAAGTCCAGGCATGAGGATCAAGGCCATCCTCAATTATATACCAGATGTGAACTGGGAGCCAGCCTGGGCTACTTAAGACCCTATCTTTAAAATGAAAAAAATTAAAACAAAGGAGGTGGGGCATAGACGTCTTTGATTGTGTGATAGAATGTTTGATGAGGGGAAGAAATGTTAGAAATGTCTTTTAAGGTTTATTTAAAACCATCATGCTTATTAAGATGTTTTAGTCACCCAAATTAATCCTAGAAGTCATGTGATTTTTAATAGCTGTTGAACATTTATAGTTTAAAAAAAAAAAGCGGGGTGTGGGGATCACAGTGGCCTTCTAAAATTCTAAAAACTACCAAACTCAAAATTTATGCCTAACCTTACATCCAAACAGTAAGAAAAGAAAAGACGATCAAGAATTAAAGACACTTAAAAGGGCTGGTAAAGCAAATATCTTTCAAGTTACACTACCCATCTCTGTCCTTATGGGCTACATAATGTCCTTGGAGCCTGGCCCAGGTGGTCAGAAGCACTTGTGGAACAGGTGGGAAGAGCTGAGATCACCCTCTGTCTGGGAGGAGTGCACCACACCATTTACACCAAGTTGAATTCCCGAAGGTTCAGCTGGAGGATTGTGTCTTTGACAGCAGCAAACACAAATCGGATATTCTCAGTGTCTGTAGCACATGTGAAGTGAGAATAGATGACTTTCTCTTTGTCAGGATTCTGGTCTTGATACAGCTTCAGGATAAAGTCCCTGGCAGCTTTGACATCTTGCTTTGGTCCTGGTCATGAAAGGAATAGAAGATACAGCTCACCACCATGTCCTCCCACAATCCTTTTTAGTATTACTGTTCTTATTTGGGATCCTTCTTAATCAATCGTACTTCATATCTAAGGAAAGTTTACCTGGAGTAGTTACTAATTTCACATGAATCTATAAAATAATCTTAAATATTCTCCATTTTATGCAGTGTGTGCATGTGTACATGCATGTGACCAGAGAACAATTTCATGTTATCCTCAGGAATGCATGCACCTCCATCGATAAGATTTTTCACTGGCCTACAGCTCACCAACTAGGCTAGACTGGCTGGACAGCAAGTCCCAGTGATCTGCCACTGGCGCTGTGATTACAAATTCTCACGATCATGCCTGGCTTTTTGAGGTGAGTTTGGAGATTGAACTTGGTCCTTATGCTTGCTTGCAAGGAAAATGTTTTTACCAACTGAGCCATTCCCTAGCTCAGTGTTTGGTCTTTTTAAAGTGTCTACTGGTATCTAAAAATTGTACTGTAAAGTGGTTTGTCTAAAAATAGTGGCCTACTTTTGTTTTCTAACCACTAACTTGTACAGACAGGCAGCTGTGGGCTGGGGGAGGGGTGTGGTGCAGAAACTGGTGTCATTAAATTGGCTTTAAAGTCTGACCGTTCTGTACTGCCAGGGTGTTTAATCAAAGGACTGGGAGGGGGGGTATGCTGAAACACTAACATGTAAATATCAATGTCAAGAGCACACTGAGACCTCTTGTGCTGGGAGTGATTAGCAAGCATGAGAACTGCCCTGCCTTGAGCAGGTTGCATACATGGAAGACTCCAGCACCACCCTGTGACTGAGAAGCAGATAACCTGTAATCCCCCAAAGCAGCATGTACTCCGACTGAAGCTGTGAGAGCCAGCTCTGCCAGGGAAATGCATATGCAGCAGAATGCCCCAGCTGCCAGGGCAACAGAGAGGGGGTGGCATACTAGTCCAAGCTGTAGACAGGTACGGGAGGGTCAGAGGGGTTTCCAAGGTGAGGCACCTGAGTTGGGGCCTGAGCAGCCAAGTGGAGTAAGCCACATGAGTTGGCAAATGCATTCGGACCCTCGCAGTGGCAGGTGTTGAAGTGAAAACATCATCGGGGCAATGAGAAGTATAATTTGAAGTGGGACCGTGAGAGCCCATCAGGGAGGCCCCAGAAAGCCATACTGAAGGCTGGAGCCTGCTGCAGGTGAAGAAGTCAACAAGGTTGGTGTGAGAGCAATGTTCTCTAGATACTTACCTGTGTATTCTGGGAAATAGCTAATTAGATGAGAGTACATGATTTTCTCTTCCAAAAGATCCTTCTTGTTTAAGAACAAAATCACAGATGAGTTCAGAAACCAAGGGTAGGTGATGATGGTTTTAAACAAGGCTTTGCTCTCTTCCATACGGTTCTAGTGAGAAACAGTTAGGATAAGTCAGAAAGAAAAGCAAGACTTGGAAATAGCATGTTAGAAGGCTGGGTGCATCCATAGTCCTCTCCCCTTAGGGTCACTGCTCCTAAGATGTTATGATGACAAGGATGTAGGTCCACCAGACTTGCTTCTGTTTGCCCCAACCCCCCTCCCCCCCCACACACACACACACCTGACTTACTGACTTTCTCGGCATCCTCTTTGGAGCACTAACTCTTCTCTTGCCCTAAACAAGGCTCTTGTGCAACTTGAAGCAAAATGTTGATGTTGTTAGATAAGATGTTCGTGTTCTGTAACTGATTAACGGGTGGTGAGATATCAGCTTCAAGTGGGAGTGTGCTTCTGAAAGCCTCACGAGTATGAGAACACAGGAGGAAGGAAAGCTCTTCCAGGAAGGCCACAACCCTGAGCCCTCGGGTGTGCTAGACTCTGGTCCAAAGGGAACTAACATTGCAGAGCACCATAGCCACACTTTACAAATGGATGTTGTCCCAATTTGGTGGATGAGCATAGCATCCCAAAAATTTAACTTTTCCCAAACCCATAGAGATTCGAGTCCTGTGACAATTAAGAACAGTAATTTTAACACATTTCAAAGAAAATACTAAAAGCTCTCAAGTTTGAGGGGGCAGATAACTGAGAAACAAGTTGTATATTGTGACAACTATAGTTCTACACAGCATTTTCTCAAGTATTTCTAAGGAAAAAAGCAAGAATTTTCCTTTAGAGGAGGAAGGAACCATCAAGCCCAAGGTCCACACATGCTCCAAAGGGATGCACCATGAATCTACTTCCCTACAAGTCCACATCTATGGAAAGAATTATCAGAGAAGTAACTCATCCACTTTTAAAGATTCTCTAAAGCCTAGAATTTTCTTTATCATCTCCAAAGAAAAAAAATGCTGTATGGCAGAGTAAGTGGATCCAATGCGCATCTATAACTGGAAGGAATGGGCAGGAATAGCAACTATTTACATTCTCCCCAAACACCTGTGATTCTTTTTTTTTTTTTTAGAAGAGACGAATATATTTAATTTCTAAGAATATTGGACTGGTCTTCTGGTCCATTGAGCATCCAATCCTTTGACTCTTCTGAGAAATACCACAAGTAACTCTTAAGAATTCCTGGATGTTGAGAACTCTCTCTCTTGAAATTCTACTTGGGAGAGCTAGGCAGCAGCCACTGTTACTCTGACAGCACAAGTAAATGAGTTCACCCTCCATTAATTAGCTAATATAGTGACACTCCTCAGAGAGAAGCGTTCACTCAAGAGGTCCAAGATACGGTTTGTTCATGGGTCATTGCCTGATCCTGGGCAGCACACTGATGATGGACATCCATGTCCTTAAAACAAGAGCCAAGAAATCTTGCTTAGGTTCAGAGAAAAAGATCATTTAGGACGACATTGCTATTCCTCAGAGAATAACCTCACAAAGTAACAGACAGTCCTGGTCACTTTCTGTCAGAGCCAGCGCCTTGCAGCTTTGTAAGAGGCATGGTACATGCCTGGGCTGGATCAGCCCCAGATGCCCTGAAAGAGACCCTTGCAGGGGAGTAATTACAGATGCAATCTCAGGTAGCTACTGAGCTGCTCCATGTGCTAGGCACCTCTGCCCTGACAACTCAGCTAGGAACCTAGTTTGGGAGTGCCATTCTCTGGAGGCTGAAGTGTCTGCTCAGATGTTACGTTAGAAACAGTATCACTTGAGCTGGGGATACCTAGCATGATGAAGCTGGGAATTCAATCCATGCAGTGGCACACACGTATAATCCCAACACGTAGGAGGTGTAGTGTAAGGCTAGAGGATCAGAAGCTGAAGGTTACCCTTTGCTTCATAGCTAGTTTGAGGCCAGCTTAGGCTACACAAGACCCAGTTTTGAAAGGAGTGGGACGGGGAGAATTGTTAGACAATAATTGCATGTATTAGGGTCTCTGAAGGGACTTAGAAATGAAACTAACCCCATTGGAACCCAGTAAATATAACTAACGCAGGACCCAAAAGGCAGTATTTTTCCAACATGCCACCAGCAGTAAGAATTTCATCTTTGTGTGTGTGCAGGTTGGATTTTTACACAGTTTCTAAGGGCTAGCTTGGTAAACTGAGCACCCCTGACCCAGTCCCAGGACTATCTGCTTTTTCCTGGTTTCCATCTTTCATGACCATCACATTTACTTTGGGGAGCTTTGTGAACATCCTTGCTCTCAGACCATAGCCACCATCAATCAACTAAGCCACCTAATCAATTAATTTCCTAAGGCTCCTTAGGAAATTCTACTGGGCAACTACATTGGATCCAGAGTTCTGGTCCACGACTCTTGGTATGCGGTAGGCTGCATCATCTAAGTTAGTCACATAAAGATTAAGTCTCCGGTTTGTTTGTTTGTAGGTTTTGTTGTTTGTTTCTTGTCTTGTTTGGTTTGGGTTTTAAGAGTATGTAGCCTTGGCTGGCCTCTGCCTGTCTTTGTCTCCTGAGTGCTGTAATTAAAGGCATGTGCCACCAAACCTGGCTCTGAAATCTAATGATGTCTATCTCAGGATGCATTTGGTTAAGTGACATGTGACAGTATTTAACTTACAGGGGACTTTGGAAATGGGTCTGCAGAGCACCAGTAGGTTGCATGAGCAACAAACACCTGAGTGCTGGCTGGAGAAAGAAAGTCTATTTCCTCACCAAGCTAGCTTCTTGAAAATTGAAGAAATAAGACTGTCTTCCACAGTTATCACCCCCAACCCCACCCTTAACAGCATGCCTCTAAGGTCCAAACCCCCAGCATACCTCATTGTCACACTCAGCCAGAACTTGATCATATTCACTCAGAGCCACCAAGAAAATGATGGAGGTGACACTCTCAAAGCAGTGAATCCATTTCCGTCGTTCAGATCGCTGGCCACCAACATCCACCATCCTGCTCAACAGAAGTGGATGGTCAGAGGTTGGAATGCACAACTCCAAGGGGAGAGACACAAGCCATTACACCATGGAGTTAGTAGCTTTAGGATCCTCGGTGATTTTTAGAGGGAAGGAGCTCTTAAGGTTAGTGTGTTAGAACAGTGGTGCCTTGGGCAGTGGAGAACTATTGGTGGTTTCCAAGCAAAAGACTCAGATGGAGCCTGCCTGGAGATACTGGGTAAGAACTTGCTCCCGAAGTCCTTTACTCCAACCACCCATATGGAGTCCTAGGACACAAAAGGGACAAAGGCAAGCCATCTTCCTGGTACCTCTGCTTTCTTCTGGTCCTATATTTAAATGTATAATTTGTATTCTGTTTTTTAGGGCTATGTGTGTGTGTGTGTGTGTGTGTGTGTGTGTGTCACAAGTACATGAGTGCAGGTGCCTCAAGACCAGAAGAGGTCATTGGCTGCCCTTAAGCTAGAGTTACAGACTGCTGTGAGCCACTCAATGTAGGTGCTGGTAGCTGAACGCTACTAGCTACTGAGCCACCCCTCTGCCATGTCACTGAGGCCCACTGTTCTAGACAAAATGCAGGCTCACTATTACCAGGTCTGTGGGTATTTTAGGGAAACCTAGTAGGTTTTAAGTAAAACATCTGTTTGTAAGTGTTGGTGCAGGTATTTATTCTAATGCTATGGCAGACTCTATGGGTCAGATAGTGAACGTTAACTGCCAGGTCACCCACCACCCCGGCACCCTCACCCCATCCACACACCAATTCTGAAGACCCCAAACCAGTGTGGCAAGATGGGCCATAGGCTCACTGAGGCTCCCAATACTACCATCTAGAAGGGTGTCTTTGAGTCAGGTTCTTTGAGTCAGTGCAGACATGCCTGCAATGCTATATGCATGCTGCTTGCCTCATGTTGCAGAGGGGAATAGAGCTAGGATAGAAAGCACACATATCAATAGACTTAGCATGAAGACATTTTACAAAGATCTCGACTTCAAGCATCAGAATTCTTCAGAAAGATTGCATGGGGGCGGTGCCACAGGCTGCAAGGTATCACCAGCAGGCATTTAAACCCAGTTCTATGGCTCTGGAAAGGCAAAACTTGTTCACTAAAGCTTTGGCAAACTCTCATTCTGAGGTGTTTGGGAGGTTGCAAGCAGCCTTCGAAGTTGAAAAGGTTTAAATCCATAGGTCAGCCCAGAAGAAAACAACCATTAAATTAGACATATATAACAAAAATGCAGAGAGTATTTTTATACCACCACCACCTCGGGCCCCCCCCCCCCCCCCCCCCGTGTGACAGCACTGAAGGAGTGCTAATACGGAACTGTAATATTGGATTAGATGTGGGAGAGCTAAAATGTGTATAATGATCATCATCAGAAAGGATAGAGGAATAATAGATAAGAGCTTTGAGGAGTTGGAGAGGTGGTTCAGTAGTTAGAGCTCATTACTTTTGCAAAGGACCTGAGTTCAGTCCCAGCACCCACATGGTGGTTCATTACAACCCATAATTCCAGTCCCAAGGGATCCAATGCCCTCATCATCTCCAAGGGTCCCTGCACACACTTGGTATACATACATATACACTGAGGCACACACACATACACAAAATAATTTATAAGGGTGCTTTGAAATTTTCAGTGTTTTGTAAATGACCTGTTATTTATTTTTCAAATACAAAGTTCAGTAAAGATCTGTTCATCCTAAGAGTGTTATAGACATGCATACATTTTACACAGCTATAAGTACTCCATATATATTATAAACTTAATACACACTTTTTTCAAATTTATTTATTTTAATGTGCATTGGCATTTTTGCCATGGGTGTAGGGTCCCCTGAAACTGGCATTACAGACAGTTCTGAGCTGCCATGTGGGTGCTAGGAATCAAACCCGGGTCCTCTGGAAGAGCAGTCGGTGCTCTTAACCACTGAGCCATCTCTCCAGCCCAATATACACTTTTATATTTATGGTTTTTCTTTAAGGATAAATCTCAGACAAGGTAATAAGGGAAAGAGAAATCTTATTCAAAATTAGGAAAAAGACTTCAGTAGACTGTGTGGTCACAGGAGTGCCCATCTGTGTGACTACACATAAGAAGGCTTTTCCCTGGTAGGAAGAGCCCAAAAATCCCTCTGTTGTAGAGCTTGAGACCCCAGAAGGTTATCTAGACCTAAGAGCTGCTTAGGAATCACACACCTAACACCCCACTTCAGGATGTTTCCCCTGAATAGACTGATCCTTAAAGGCCTTTGTCTGGGAGACAGACTTACCGAAAGATGATGTTTTCCAAGTCAAATGGGTACTCTATGATGCCGGTGGTGGGCACTCGAACACGAAGCACATCCTGTTGTGTTGGCACGAAAGAGGGCATGGCGATTCGGTCAATGTCAGTCAGGTAACTGAGATATGAAAGAGTTGAGATGCTGAGGCTCCATTGTAAGAGAGAAAAATAGCTTTCCTTGCTCAAGGGAAGTCCTCGCTGGCCACAGAGCCCCCACAAGACTTGGAGGCCAGCAGTAACATTCAAAGGTGACTATGCTAGGCCTCTTTCCTCCCAAGACCATTCTGAAGATCTCGGGACTAAGAAGCACATCTGCGAGCCTTCTGCGAATGCATGTCACTCCATCCAGGTCCCAACTGCATCATCTCTGTGACCATGGAGGAAGCAGCAGCCTAGAGGCTGTGGAGGTAGGAGATGACACTGGCCCTTACCCAACAGACCTGCCCACCTGCCTTCATCCAAGAATGTCACATAAAGTAGACACTGTAGGGTAAAGGGGCTGGCCAAAGAAACCCACCCTGGCCCTGAAACCAGAGCCAGTGAAAGAAATCCACCCTGGGCCTGAAACTAGAGCCAGTGAAAGAAATCTACCCTGGGCCTGAAACTAGAGCCAAAAGGCTAAAAAGGGCCAGTGAAACTTGGCCCTGAAACCAGAACCAAATCTGCCCCAACCAACTGAAAACGAAACCAACTAATTCCTGAGCAGGAAAATCAACCAATCCCTGAGCACAAAATCTAGCCAATCTGAGTTTATCCAAGCTCAAGGGGATCAAAATCTGACCAATTCCCTCCATGGAAAAACTCCTCCCCTAAGAAGTCCTATGCAAGCCCCTCTGACTCTTCAGTTAGCAGCTGTCGTTCTCCACCCTGGCGAGGCAGCCACTTTCCTGAACTACTCCTTCCCAAATATACCTCTTGAAAGAGTTTGGGTGAAGCTCATCTTTCATCAGCATGGAGCAGAATCTCTGCTGGGAAGCTAGCTCCCTTAGGGGAGCAGAGCAGAGTAGAGTAGAAGGAACTGACACCTCTGCTGGGAAACTCCCTTGGGAGCTGGGCAGAAGTAACAACTTTTCACCAGAGCTGGAGTAAAATGCTACATTTCTGCAGGGATTTTGCCCTTAGCAGAGTGAAACAGAAGAAGCCACATCTTAGGCTAGAGCTGAGAAGAAATGGATACCACTACTGGGAAGCTCCCTTGGGAGTGGAGCAGAGCTCAGCTGTAACAGCTCTGTCTTAGAGAGGAGCAAAATTGCCACATTGTGCAGAGAGACCATCCCCCACCATCCCCTAGCTTCAGGTATGGCCTGACTTCCCGACAAGTTAGGATACCTCTCCCTCTGGAGCTGTAACACTTGCAGACACTGTTCTCTGAAGGCTCTGATCAGTAAATTAAGAGCAGCTTCTATGAAAACATGGTTGTCGAACAGGCCATGGAAAAATTCCCTCAAAATAAGATAACATTTTCCTGTTAAGCACACTGGGAAATGAGACATCTAAAATAATTCAAAATTTGTCACACATTATTTGGGACTGTGTAAAGTCCTGACTTTAAAATACATGAAATTTTTTTTCTAAAGTCAAATGAAAGAATGTCTTTAAAATATGCTTCACCAGGCAGTGTAGCGCAGTTTTTAGAGTGCTTGCCTAGCATGCATATCGCACTGGGTTTAAACCCCAGCACCTCCTACAACAGATATGGTGGCACATGCCTGCAATCCCAACACTCAGGAGGTAGAGGTAGAAGGATCAGAAGTTCAGGGTCCTGTTGAAATACATGGAGAATTCAAGGACAGCCTAGGCTAGAGACTGTGTCTTCAAAACTTGCTTGATTACTGTAAGTCCTTACAGAAGACCCCAGGCAGCAATGGAGTTGGTGGCTCTGCTGCTTTCTCTAGCACAATCTAAATATCCAGGGATGAGCAGGTCAGCCTAGGGATGGACTCACTAACTTCAAACTGCTGGGCCGCTCCCATGTGTTACTTTGTCTTTTATAGTACTCCTTTCCCTTTTTCCAGTATTCTACTCCATGGTTTCAAATACCGATGGCCATTTATGGCCCAAAAGTAAGAAATGGGAAAATAATACCAGAAATAAATAGTTCATTTTCTTTTTTTAGTACTGTTGTGTTTTGCAAAGCTACAGACAACAATTCATCAGTTTTCAATCTAGGGACATTCTGAGTAGCAAGATAAAATCTGTTGCTGGACCTAGATATGCAACATACTTCCTAGTGTATCCTACCCACCTGCTAGTCACTCAGTAGCTGTCCCAGTTATCACACCAACTGCCATGGGGTCACATAGCTGATAACCAAATAGCTCAAATTTTACTCAGTGTGCTCCAGGTAATCATCATTTTTAGTTTCTGTAAAGCACTTACAATACCTTATGTATAAGTTCATCTTATCATCATTATGTACATATAGGAAAAAAAGAGAATACAATGTCATCTGTGGTTTGGGGGGGTCTGCTGGGAACTCTGGAAAGTGGCCCAAAAGTTATAAATGGGAGATAAGGGACACATACTACAGTGATGGGTTGATTGACTGATGATTGATTGGAACCAGCAGACTGTGCACTTTCTGAGATTAGAGGGCATTGGTTGGTTGTCACATAGCCCTTAGCATGCTCTCTGGCACACTCATTGGGCAGTACAAATTCATATCTAAAAATGCAGGTATTACTAGCAGATGACTGAGAACCACAGGCCTGAACCAAGAAAATGCGCAAGTAACTTACACTGTAGACTTTTTTTTAAGACAGGGTCCAGTCCAGTTTGCCAGACTGGCTTGAGATCCTCCTGCTCCTACCTCCCCAGTATCCCAGGCATGTGCCACCACATCCAGCAACTCTCAAGACTGGCAATTATCTGGCTTTATTAAATGCTACTGTCTTCTGTACAACTCCAATTACCTTGCCAGCCACCCCTGCATGCCTCTTGGTGAACCTGTTTCAGTTTTCAACATTTATACTGAGTTAATCCTACAGCGGTTCTGGTAAACTTTCTCCAAATGGATGTAAACCCACAGCACTGTCACGGAGCCAGTAACAGCAGGCTGCTTCTGGGAGGGAGTGGCGGGGGGGGGCACTAGCAGCCCCTGACTCCCTAGACTTCCTTCCTCCCTTCTCCATTGCCAGTGTAACACCTTACTGGTTCCTTTTCTTCTCCTGACATCATGCTCTCCTGCTGATGTAGTTGGATCAGCTGTGCCAACCTGGAACAAACTGAACACTGCCTGGGACAAATGTCTAGAGAAAGTCACTAAAGGCTTCATGAAATAACATTGCCTTTCCTGACAGTTGCTTTGTCCTGTTCAAGCTGGCTCAGAATCGGGTGGTTTGGGGGTGGGGATGTCATGGTCCTGGGAGGAGGGACAGTGATATGGGGGAAGGAGAAAGGAGTGAGCTACAGAAGCATAAACAAGCAGCAACTCAAGAAGAAATCATCTGTGTGCTCAGTCACCCCATGGATGACGCACAGTCCTGGGGACTCTTAGAAAAGGGAAATGTTGCGATCTCTCCAAGATAGTGTGCAGTAGAAACTTTGGTGGGTTGATGGCTTAAAGCTTTATGGATCCAAAATAAGTAAGAAGCAGACTTTCTGAGAGGGCCAAATAAGCCAGCTGAGCTTCCTGTGTGCTGGTCTTGCAGATACCTATGTCCATCACTAGAGGGTAGCACAAGATCAGTGGCTGATTTAACCAAAGCCTACACCTGCCTGCCTGTGGTTTCCAAAGGAATATGGCAAGAAGAAAGGGAACTGCCACAGGCAGGTGTATTCTTTGCTTAAGTTATAATTCCAGCACCAAAACTTAGATCTAATCCGCTGAGGGAATTTCCAATTTAATTAGATGGGAAAAGGTGGGTGCTGACCCCAGGGTACATCTTGGAACCCAAAGAAGATTAGGATAGAAGGTGCTAAGAGTCCTAGCCAGGAGTCAGGAAAGACCACCTCCTCGCCTGCAAACAGGGAGTGAAGTCTTGCAGAGTCCGCCCAAGAAGGGCAGTGTGGCAGCAGCTGTGGCAGACTGAGTACTCACTACTTAGCCGAGTCTGACAGCTGGTACTCCCTCCTCCTGTCATAACACTCCTGGATTCCCGGATCCAGCCACAGCTGCTTGATGGCTGCCACCTGGTCCCTGGAGAGTGCAGAGACTTTGTCTACTTCCACTTCTCTGATGATCTGGGCATTTTCCTAGTCAAAGGAAAGAAAACATGGCATTGACCAAAGGAAAGGCTAGCAGATATGGGGATAATCTTGCCCAGGATCCTGGGGTGGGAGCTCTGATAGGTACAGGACTGCACAGCCAAGTCCTCAGAAACTGGTAGGCTGAGTGGGGCAGTTTGATTGCTCAGTCTGGGGAAGTGAGCCGCAGATGACACCAGACCTGTACCTCAAGTCCCGCAATACCGGAGGCAGCTGCTCAGACCCAGCACTCAATAGTGAACAGAGACACTCATGCCTCTTCTCATTTCAAAATTGGTGTAGCCAGCTGTACACACAAACTCTCGTGTGGATGGCATACCAGGGTGTAAGAGCAGGGGCACACTATCTCTGAAAATGGAAAATCAATGCCAGCTATCAACCTGATACTTTTCTCTTTCCTGTCTTTTTCTTTGTTTTTTCCCCCCCCATCATATTTAATTTGTTGAGGTAGATTGTAGCACGAATCTTATTGGGTCTTATTAACAAAAACAAACTTGGAACCAGGCATTGGGGTAAACGTTGAAAGATCAGAGAAGCAGAACAAGCCACAGCTACCTCACCTTGCCAATTCCTCAGCTAATCTTGTTTCCTCAGACTGGAAGCCTCTGTGTCCTCATCTGAATGTGTCTCAGCTGAGCTGTGCTGCTCAAAAGCCTAAAAGCTTAACCAGCTCTAGTTCCTGGTCCTCATGCCTTATATACCTTTCTGCCTCCTGCTATTACTTCCTGGGATTAAAGGCGTGAGTCACCACACTTGGCTGTTTCCAGTGTGGCCTTGAACTCACAGAGATCCAGGCGGATCTCTGCCTCTGGAATGCTAGGATTAAAGGCGTGTGCTATCACTGTCTAAACTATTATGGCTGTTCTGTTCTCTGACCCCAGATAAGTTTATTAGAGTGCACAATATTTTGGTGAACACAATACTACCACAGTAGATTTTACTTTGCAGAGGAGCATTAGGTTCAACAAAAAGCTTCCACTCAACAGCAAGTTCCCACATGTCAGCCATACAGTCCCAGGTATCACTGCGGACCAAGGAACCGCTCCCAGAGCACCTGCTTTACACAATAATCACTAGACTGGGTTTCTTACACAATCATCACTCTATTATCACATTAATGATTACGGTCAGGAGCTCTGTGAGAGCACACACACACAATAGATACTTCTCATGTGCAAAACTAGCACATATCCACCACACTTGAACCTCTGCACCTAATCCCTTCTCTGTCCTTAGCCAGAGAGTGATGGAGGGTCCTGGAGGGCCTTGTGTGGAGCATAGGCACTGTCTCCACCTCTTGCTGCCCACTGCCACTCTGTACCACCAGACAGGATCAAATGTTCCCTCCTGCCCTACGGCTGCCTCTATCCTCTGCATTTAAAATGGCCATGGACCTCTGTCTTCAAACAAGTCTGAAAACTCCACGAGAGCAGAGTCAATGCCTGGTCCTTTTATCTTAGTGCCCAGTGCAGTGCCTGCAAGCAGAAGGAGTCTTCCATTGGTATGTGAGCTCAGTAAACACATGTGGGACATATACAGTGTATTGATATGTGAGCTCAGTAAACACATGTGGGACATAGACAGTGTATTGGTATGTGAGCTCAGTAAACACATGTGGTATACATTCAATGTATCTATGTAACAGGTGGAAATCCACAGCCATGGAATGTGAATGGTGTAGGACAGAAGCCCATGCAGAGGGTGATGAGTTCACATAGGAACTTGGGGCCTCACTGTGGTGGCTCTCAGCCAGTGGTCTTGCTAACTCTTTCCCTTCTTGCATGACAAGAATTTAACAGTGAAATATAGCTTTGCTGCTGAGAATTAAAGCCAAAAAGTTGTCAGAGAATCTGGGGTGGGGAATTGCCATGTTGTGTTGGAGGTGGCCACCCTCTATGTGTGTCCAGGAAGTAGATGAATAAAGTAGATATGCTGTTCTTAGGAGTCTCAGAGGAAAACCATCAGACCCGAAGACAAGAGTTTGGGGATCAAGCCAACAGATACAGAAGCATCACTAATGACCAGGTAGATTCTCAAAGAGTTTACCTCAGACATGCATGAATGTGGCATAATGAAACCCATTATTCTGTACAATTTAAATACACTAACGAGAAAGGGAAACACGGTGTTCAACACTGACTTTCCTTTTTCTCTTTCTCAAAATCACCATATTCAAAGCTTGGAAAGAAAACTCAGAAGACAGATGTATGCCATGCAGAAGTTCCCTGTCAACTGTGAAAGGGCCACAGATGAAGTGGTACCTTCACATGTGGCCCTGAGGCTGCTGCTGAGTGTCCCTGTCAAGCACAGTGGGGCTTCTCACTAGGACCCAGCAGGCTGTCCGACCTCTGTCTGGCCTTCAACACAGGGGCCACTATACTGTCAATGGCCCGGCCCAGGAGCCATCGCTGCAGGACCTTTCATTAGATAACCATGCATGTGTGTTTTAAATCTATGTATTTTAATTGGCAAATTGAGTCTACATAGTTATGGTATATATAACACATGTTGTCTTAGCTTGTGTAAATAATGTGCTTGGCTAAGCCAAACTATTTAACATCTTTGTGTGTGTGTGTGTGTGTGTGTGTGTGTGTGTGTGTGTGATCTTTGCATGGTGAGAACACTAAAGTCCCATTCTTTTGGCAATGTCCAAGGAAATAATGCACTGTTACTAACTTCATCACCAGGAGGTGCAAGAGGTCTCTTGAACAAATATTTTAATTAAAATTAATATCCACTGAAATGGTATAAATGATAAAAACCATAACTACATAATATTCGAAAGGTCTACTTATTAAGATAAAATACATACTTCAAAACCAAATTTCCCTGTAGCACAACATTTTCAACTTTGGTACAATCACTTCTCTGTTTTCACAGCTGTCCATGTCCAGAGTGCACCGCAACACTACTGAAGCCTGTGAAGTGGCTCTGCCACCACTGGCTTTCAAAGTATTACAAGCACAGCTGCCACAGAAATACCAGTGAGCTGCACAAGAGGGACTTTCCCTGTGAAACACACACACACACACACACACACACACACACACACACACACACACACCAACTCTCTTTCTAATACTAAACAGAAAAGCTGGATCAATTCTACCATTGAGGGCAGCTGGAAATGCTGGATTACTTTTTGTTTTAATATGCTTGAATGTATTAGAAAGCTAAGAAGCAGGACACAGAGAAGAAAGCGGCTACGCTCTCTGTAGCAGCTACCTGTTCAGCACCACGGGGAGACAGGACAGGGTTGGGTTAGCAGGAATGAAAGGTCCTCATACAAGTCCTTTGGCTCTGGGTTGCCCCAGTAGCTTGCAGCTTACCACTGGAGTCTCAGATGTGGCCACCCTTCTACCATCACCACTGACACTTGGCAGGAGAGACTCCACTTGAGTGTTTGGAAGCTAACATCTTCCACATCATCTACACTTCTGAACTCCACATGAGATTCAGGAAAAGCCTACTTCTCCTACTGTCTTTCTCCTCATATTTCCTCCAAGAAAACCATGAAAGAGCAGAATTCATTCACGACAAACTATTAAAGTAAAAGGCCTCAGAGATTTGTTTACCCTTTGTCCAAATTTCAGTGGGTTTCACAGTGATGAAAAAGTTTATGCCAAAGACACCTGTGGTAACTGCACACACACACACACACACACACACACACACACACACACACACACACACACATAGGAGAGGGAGGGAGAGAGAGAGAGAGAGAGAGAGAGAGAGAGAGAGAGAGAGCGCTACAGTGACTGTCAATGATGCACTTGAGAGGTAGGACCCATGGCATTGACTAAACTATAATGATGTTTCCCATAATTCCCTTCTACATGTTTCTAGATTAGAGTTAAGTAGGAAAATCTTTGGAAGGTTTGGGACACAGAAGGGAAGCAGCAGCCACTGAGCTTGGAAGGCAAGAGATCCTGTCCAGCTTGCACATGCTAGGGCTGGTTTTTTAGTCAACCTTATTGGTATGAGGTAAAAGTTGGGCGCGCAGTATTCTCAAGCTCCTGCTCAAATCATGCCCAATTTCTCCAATCCTGGTTCAGTTTCACACCCTACACAGACACATGAGCAGATCTGTGGGAGAGTGTGCCTGTTCTAACAAGTCACCTGCACTGTCAAGGTGGAGCGGGACAGGGGGAGGTGTGGGCCTAGAACCTCCTCATGGGATCAGGTCTACCCTGCTTCCACTGACTCCATTGTCTCTGCTCTCCCCTACTTCACATCCAGCTTTCTCCCTAACTGCCAGCCTTGCTGACCCATAGAAACTTCACACCCACTGCCAGATACACAGAAGCAGCAGCTTTCCTGTGCCTTCCTCTCCATTCCACAGTGACAACACAGTCCCTGTAGTTAATTCACCGTCCACAGCACTCTCAGAAATTGGTTCCCCAGTCAAACCCAAACTCATACACAAGTGCTTCCATTAAAGTTCTCCCAATTCTAATCAGGGTCAAAATCCCTTATAGCCATAGGTTCGGGTGAAAGGAACGTCTTAGGCATCAGCCAGGATGGCCTGAATGTCTCAGATTCATCTCTACAATGCCAGCCAGTCTCACTGCTCCTGTGACTGGCCTTCCATGCTGAGCCTGGGCTGGGTTCTGGGACTAGGTAGCCCTCCTCTTGAATGTTTTAGTGTACTGGGGTGTCTTGGAGTGGGAAATACACCAGAACTTTACACAAATGTTAAGAGATCAAAGAAAAGGAACAATTGGAGTTTGGGATGGGAGGGGAAGGGGTTCATATTTCCACCAAAGGATGCCTGAGGGGCGGAAGGAGAAGGGTGCTGTTCCAACAACAACCCCTCACACCTTTGGCACCATGACCTGAATGTGTTGGCCATTTCTGACATCACTTCCCCAGGGTGGGGCCAGGGATTCTCTTGGCTACACATTTCACATGACATTCCTTTTCCTAAGATGTTTGGAAGTCATCTGAACCTTCAAGTCCTAGGATAGAGAGACATGGTCAAGGCA